TACACCGTCAAAAGTGAAAATGGACGTTTTTGATTTTTGTCTTAATAATAAGTAATTGCTCCACCAATCCTCGGACATGCTCCTAATCAACCGTCCAATCACGATTTTGGGCAATCTGACCCACTCCTCTTGCAGTCCCACGGCCAATTCTTGCAGTGTTGTCGGTTGACGTTGACGTCGATCAACACGTCTCCCGATCAAATTAAACGTAACACACTAAAGCAAAGATACGCTAAACAGTAAATCTTATGCACGAACCGATAGGAACGCAAACATGGATAGATAAACCAGCACGCGGCAGTTTTCATCAACCCTTCCTTCAAGTGTCAAATTTGACAATGAACCCCTCCCACATGTATGACGCTATTGCGTGTCGCATGTACAGCTCAGTGCTTCTGTTGGGGCGATAAGTCCTTCATCTGTGAACATACTCTCAAAGCATGTCAAGTGTCCATGACTATTTATCATATCACAACCTGCATAGGTATTTGCATTTCAATATCCCCTACTTTTTTTGAAGAGTATATTTATCTTTGACGTTATACATACGTATACAATTTCAAACACCGTCTTCTTTATATTATATATTATTAAGGACCTACTTATTTAACAAGGACGTTACTCAAATATCTATTTTATTTTACACATGAGACGGCGTTAAAACGGAAATTTCAAATTTTTAAGTTATATTTTTAAAATGTATTAAAATGTAGCCCGAAAATAGATGGTATCCATAAACAGTCCTACTTTGTTAAAGAATAATCCTATTAATCCTTTAATTCACTATTGCCAGCTGAGAAATTGGCAAAAATATCATTTTCCTCTTCAAATTCAAACGTTTGAAAAAGCTACTCGGAGGTAATTGTGTTATTATTTCCTGTGTAAATGAGTTTTAAGTGTGAGAATGACACCTATGATCGTATAATTGTGAGTTGACAACCTATTGAGCAAAAGACATAGAAATAATTATGTTTTGACTTTCTTAGAAAATTTGAAATCCTCGCTTTAAGGAGCATAGAAGGTCTGACTATTCATTTTATTCGTGCAAACTAGTGAGGTGTTACAATAGTTACACAGAAATAGAAGACGTTAATACAACCGTCTCAACGCTAAGTTCCCACTATCAGGATTCGCGCTAGGAAAACCCGTTTGCGACCGTCAAACTTTCCAAATTTTCTCCTTTGGGGTGGATTTCCTATACGCAGATTGTAAACGGACATTTTTGGGGGCATTTCAGGTTCTGCCCTCCCCCCACCCCAGCAATCCCTCCGCTCCCCCACCTCCGCTCACCCACCTAACATTCATCGAGCCCGGACGCCTATGGTTGATTATATTCCATTCCAACCAGTTAAACTAATGGCGTTGCTCATCGAACAGCTAAAGTATTCAGCTAGGCTTATTATAAACACCTGATGTAAGATGTCGGTAAACGCGACACCATATACTGATGAAGCTTAAATAACCATGCAAGTTGTCGCACAATCTTCTACCGTAGCTGCCATTATATACGTTATATACAGTGGCAAGTCACCGTAATGCAAATACACCAACACTAGATTATATCTTGCAGTCTATATATTATGCCATACATCACTGTAATTGAATTTCTATAGACGTAGGTTGACAAACACAGATTGCCGGTAATAAATTCTGTATCATTGTCGATCAGAGAGAAATGTAAATCTCATTGCAAGGGATATTCGTCTATGAAAGCTTTAAAAATACATATATAACTCTTGATTCAAGCCCTAACGATTTGAGTGAAGTGAAAATTCGGGGCTATAAATATATGGAACGAATGAATTATTTTTTGCTCAAAGTATTATTTTACTTTAACAAAACACGATACGTATTTTCTTTGTGCTTTTTTATACGGAAGCGTATAGTACGGAAGCGTATAGGGGTCATGCAAAATGTTGTAGAAGGTCTCGAGATCCTGTGATCCTGCGATTCTGTGATACTTTCTCGAAATCCCGTGATCCCCTGGTAATTTTCTCGAGGTCTCAATTTAATGTTCTCGAAACCCCCTGATACTTTTCCTGGGATAGTTCCATCCTGGGTTCTAGAAAATTTTGCATGAGCCCTATACGCTTCCGTATAGGGGTCATGCAAAATGTTGTAGAAGGTCTCGAGATCCTGCGACCCTGTGATACTTTCTCAAAATCGCATGATCCCCTGGTAATTTTCTCGAGATCTCAATTTAATGTTCTCTAAATCCCCTGATAATTTTCCTGGGATAGTTCCATACTGAGTTAACGATCTCGAGAATTCGAGTTAATCTTCTCGAGATATTGACATCCTGTGTAAATTTTCTCGAGATGCCGAGTTAATATGAAACCTTATATGATAGTGTCTCCACGTTGTGAAGCAACCATTGGCTCAATACTTCGCACCAAATTTGTTTTAAAAAATGCTCTAGCAGTGCAATCGATAGGGTTCATTCATTCTCTTATGGTACTCATAAAAAAATCGACAGGTTCATCGTCTTATGATCCCAATACTTCACACTAAATTTGAAAATCTAAAAACCTTACCACTTTAGCTTGTAATGTGTGAAACCTTGAATTACAGACTTGCTTGTTAAATTATTTCAATTTAATGTGTGGGCGACGTTTTATTGAAAATGTCACTTTTTGCATGATTTTCAGACCATATTTTTGTTTAGAATAAAGCTAGACACAGATTTTATTGTCTTGTGGCACAAATGCTTCGCAGCAGATTTGAAAACAAAAAATCTAACGCGTTCACAGGGTTTACGGGCAATAGGAATCACGCCATAACAAAATGTCAGGGAGCGCGGCAAATCAATAAGGTAACAATTTATCTTTACAAACATCTAGATTCTATCTGTTCACAAGGGTAAATTCCACGGAACGCCGAAAATAAAAAGGGTTCCTCTGCTTATGACACCAATGGTTCAAAAGAAATTAGAACGATAGCCACGCAAAGTGTGGAGATACGCCCACGAAGCATTTATGTCTCAACAGCAGATTATTCGAAAGGAAAACGTGGAAATTAATAAATTGAATAAGGATCTAGCATTCTTCAAAAAATCTAATCTCCATCGTGTTCACGTCTTTGTTATATCTCTGGGACAGAAAACCTTAATTAACAGGGGTTTATTAACTAGACATTAATTAACTTATCCAGACCATAATCAACTCTAGATGTCATTGCTAGCCAGCGATGTTTATTGGATTAGGTTCCGATTTGCTGTTCGACTTCCATTCATGATTTAATCATGAAGTGGATACTTGAGACTATGTTTTTTATCGTACCGACTTTAGTAATGATGATCGAGGCCAGGCCGAAAATTCAATCGCTAGACTCTCGGTTCAGAGTGGATCAATTTGGCTGAAAATTTCAGCAAATTCCCTTTACATTATCTAGTTTGTAACTATTATAGTGAGAACTGCCAGCTCTTTACATAATCTCCCACTATGTATCTTTAAGGAACAGAAGTTCACAGAATGCTGAATATCGATAGGGTTCGTCCTCTCATCGTCCCATATTTGAAAAAAAAGACGGTCAAAGAGGGTAACTCTGAAACAGAAGTTTGCGGAGTACTAAAGATCGAAAGATCCTAGTGCTTCACGCCACGTAGCCTCTATTGCGTTAACAAGATTTTCGGAAAAGGGTGGGTCGGGGTGGAATAACTCCAGAACGACGAGGTGCGCTAAAAGCGACAAGGGCTGTCCTCTCATGGCCCCAATTAAATTTGAAACAAATCTATTAAAAACTGTAGGCTCTATTGTGTTATTAAGGTTTTAGGGGTGGGGGATGTCATAAACTCCGAAACGACAGGTTGTAGGGCGCTGAGAATACGTTAAAAATACACGCACACGTAAAAATACCCGAGATCTCGAGGAAATTTGCACAGGGTGGCAAAATCCCGGGAAAATTAACTCGAATTCTCGAGAAAGTTAACACAGGATGTGAGATTCTCGAGAAAATTATTAGGGGATTTCGAGAACATTAAATAGAGATCTCGAGAATGTATAACAGGATCGCAGGATCTCGAGGTCTTCTACAAAATTTTGCATGGCCCCTGTACGCTTCCGTATTTTAAGTTGTGCGCAAATAAAACTCCTATAAAGTCGTTAACAAGCACCATTTTTGTGGAATAATCTACCATTTGGTTTAAGATATTGTACATCTCTGTGTTCTTTTAAAAAACAACTTAAAACACATTTTTATTTAATCAGGCTTTTAACTGACTCTGTATACAATCGCTAACTTGTCCATAATCTTGTTGTTTATTTATGATTACATTGTGACTATAAATATGCTGTAATAATACTAATATGATCGGGGCTATATGTAGTTTTGTTGGACTTGACCTTATTCAATGGGGAGCCACGGTGGTCTCATGTTCGATCCGAGACAGTTCATCGGGATTTCCGACGTGGTTTTCCTTTGTCAGTGATGCAGAACTGAGGGCAGATGTCTAGTCGTTCGGATGGGACGAAAAACCGAGGACCCGTGTATACATTGGCATGCACGTAAAGGATCAGTTGACAGTTGGAATTCGATATAAGAGTAGACCATAGTGCCGCTGCCCGGGCAAAATTTCCTTCATAGCACACTGTATGCCCGTCTTCATTATTCCAATGGGAGCAAAACAGTAGGATGTTAAACCCCCATTTCATTTTATTTCCATTTTCAAGAGTCGGGTTTAAACATCGGTTTTAAAATCCATTATTATTTGGAAACTGAACATTTTTGTTGATGCTTACTGGGATTTATTGACTGGAAACCAACAACTGACGGTGCCATATCTTAACACCGTGTTATCTATCTTTTATTACTAAGTGATAGGAGTTTAGCATCTGTTTTTGCTAGACTGTCCTGCAATTCCACTGAGATTTCATTAATGGGTTTCATAAATCTATAACAATGAATAATGTCATTTTGGTTAGGAACAAAACCAAAGACTTCTATATAAATAAGCCGTGTACATTTAAAGTGTGTAAATACAATAATGTAACAGAAAACAAAAAAAAGATGTAAGAGTATTTATATCAGATTTATAATATTTTACGATGTAAGTCACAAATATCGTATATTAAATCAATTCACATCCAATATATTAATAACACGCACAGTCATACTGGTAAAAATTACAAAGATTATTTGTCACGATATGTAAATATTTCTTTCTCAGAATCAAAGACATCTATGTACTTAAGTGATGTAGGATAAAATGGTTGACAAATATAGTCAGAATCATGTGGAACACTGAAACTCGGCTGTAATTTAGAAAATAAATCAACATTCTATTGTTTTAATAACTGTGTGGCATTTGAGTTGAGTCAATTTAAAAAGAAAATATGATGTCGAATTCAACTAGGACTTTTCGAAAAATGAATTAATTATATTCCTGTTAAACTCGGAGTTTGGAAAAGGCTTTAGATTTTATATTTTGAATTCAAATAACCATGGACCTTGTGTTATAAGGTCCATAAAATAAATTATAAACTTCATCAATACAAAACCGCCTTTGTTTAATTGTTTTGATAAATTTCTAGTATACATTTGGACAAGAATTATTTCACAAAATACAAATGATATATTTCCACAATTACTTAAAAACGAGAAGTAAAAATAACATTCAACCGATGATTCCAAATAACATTTTGTCATGGTGAAATATTATGATTTCCAAAATTCTAAATTTTCTTAACATTTATTAGAACACCTTTTCCACTAGGTAGATGTAAATATTTTATTTTACATTTAGAAATGCTGCTCATTTACAAAACCGCCAGAAACTATAACCATTTCATAGCTATTCTCTTGACAAGCGGATAGATTTGGTGGAGCCGTTGATTGAGATGGTTTCGAACAGTCAAAGTGGAAAAGGTGACAATAATAAGGGTTTTAGCTTCTTCATCGGGGCATAGGGTTTTAGCTTCTTCATCGGGACAAAGGGCATTACCAAATCGTGACAAATAAAATGAATGATAACGTTATTGTGGTAATGGACACAAATAAGATTTAACATAATTTTAGTTTTTATAGATTTCGAATGAATGTTGTAAATAGCTGATAGATTTGCCTCTCAAGCGATTGTGAAGGTTTTATGTAAGTCTAACGGTGGGGTATAAAATCCACATAGGACCATTACCCTGCGTACAATATTTCTATGGCATGTCTTTTAATGGTCTTTTATTTATATTTGAGCAATGTTTATAGAATTTTAAATTCTTTCTTCGTATGTCCATGAAGTCTAACCCGACCACTGGTCTTAAACGAACCACACAAAAACAATTCACATAATATAGTGCACAGTCCCTTATAGGGCTTTTGGGTAAAAAGCATATTAAATTTGGATGTGCTTATCAGTTACATCTAAAGTCAGATGGTTTGCCTGGATAAAGTAATTAAAAAGCATTGTAACTTGGCATACACAGCAAACAGGGTGGTTACTTTTATGTGTATATTATCTATAGTCTATAGCTGTTAAATTGGTTCACAAAATGCTGGATGCAGAAATTTTGTTAACTGAACTTCTCCATGGAATGCTTATTATTGTCTCATAAATTGCTGTTGGTTTCCAAATCTTTGACGTCGAAGTCACGCGTAGAAAAACAAAAGTAAAGTTCACAAACGATGTCTCCATGGAATGGTTTTACTGAATTTTATGTGTTTTTGATGAAAACAGATTCCTGTTAATGTATTGATCGACTGCTTATCCACTAATTCTATCTGACATTTCTTAATAAAAAACAGTTTTTTTCCTGCAATAAACTCAAAGCCAACGTAATTGTCTTTTTTCTTTACATTTCACGGTTGTCAGTTTTCTTCATTGGCCCTACATCGACATTTGGCTTTTAGAGAGTATTCTGGGTTTGAATTTTAAGACTCATATGTAGAGATCCACCGTTTTATTACATCAACCTGCATGCATAGTCAGCACCAAGAAGAGAATTGGTTGCCTTTTTGGAATGTATAACATTGGCATTACTTGTTTAATTTCTGTGTAGCTGAGAACTTTGTTTTTTTCATTCTGGTATAATGAAGGCGATTCTGATTATTCTATTGTTTTCAAACCCGTTATACTTTTTTTGACGAAGTTGAAAACGAAGATCAATGCTTTTGCAGAATTGTTTCGTATATCAATAAAACTGATATCAATAAAAGTATTATGAGTTTGAATATAAATATCGTGGGGCTTTTTGAAACAATCGAACACAAAATTAAAATACTGGCATTTTGGAATAATATAATCCATCAAAATTTGTATCGATAGCTTCAAGCAAGTAACGCTGTTCTCACTTTCAGTAAAAATATTATTACTTTATCGAACTGTTGTTTTATTTTGAGGCGGAAGAAGGTTATACTAGAGTTAGATCTGTAATCCATACAACGGATCAATAGTGAACACATTTAAGCGCACATGCATACGTATTAACCTCACATCCATGGATAATAGAGTTGTATTCGTTCGTGGAGCCAGGAAACATAAAAACACTTGTATGGCGTAATGAAGACGCCATACAATCGTACTTCATTATTTTCGTATGGTTAAGCCACCAGTATCTTTCTTATAGTATCGACAAAGACTGTAATAGATATCGTTTTATTATACACTGACCAGGAAGAACACATAGTGACTTCTTCTTTCGTTTATTGGTGTATAGATCGCCGAGGTTTGACATCATATCAAGGCATTACTTAAACCCCATCCATAATTTTTGTTCAGATTTCTGCACACAACAAAATCGTTAACAGTATCATAATATTAAGCACCGATTTCTTCGAAGGGCGTTTTGAACACGGACTGATGTGGGTTTATGCCCATAATCTATATAGTCTAAAGTCTTCATGAGTTCTTTAAACAGTAATATAATATGCCAATTAAATTTTGCAGAACATTCTATGTAGCCACACTTCCATTGTTTTTTCACAAGGTTAATAACCTCTCTTCGGGGAATCCCCCTCTCCTCTGATTGGTCATGCTTGTTCCCGACCACAAACATAGGCACGTCGTGCATGTCCCTACTCTCGAGTATCTGATCCCGGAGGTTTTTGATGTATTGGAAGCTATCTTCCGACGTGATGTCGTACACTAGTAAATATGCAGTGGCGTTACGTAAGCCATATCCTCTGAAGTCCGTCCATTCATATAATGAATTCACAGGAAAGTAAGGAATATAAGGACAATCTATAATCTTCAATTCGTACAGATGTTCATTGATGATAACTGATGGACAAAACACCTGTTTCTTATCTGTCGTGAGATATTCATCACTATATTGACTGCATACAAACTGTCGTATTATAGATGTCTTCCCAACACCCGGTGCTCCTAATACCGCAAGCTTGACTGTCTGAAACTCAGCATCTATTGTCAAATGACTTGTGGCCATTTTATCATGGTTGAACACCCGACGGAACTTCATATGCCAACGCTTACCCGAGGAACCTTCCACACGTTCATGTTCCTCGGTGGCACCGACGATTTCTGCTTTGGAATCCGTGATGACGGTTTATATTTGACACTGTTGGCGTCCGCCACGATTTTTCGTCCTTCGAGCTGAACACGAGGCTGTAATGTAGCTAATCTGAGTGATCATATCTAGTGGTTTGGGAAACGTATCGATCGGGTGGAAGCCAGCGCGCGAAGCCGTCTTGATCAACAATAACACTTCGATAGGGGGCTTTTATTCTTTATCCTCTACCCCTCCAAGCATCAATAACACCTTATAGCTTTAATTGCATTTATACAGAGATTATTTACTTACTTTATTTACTCGAAAAAAAAAAGATTGAGCTATCTGGAAAGTGTCCTAGTTATCAGAATTGTGTTAGGCGAAATTATAACTTGAAAAGCAAAACTTTCTGTAAATCCTTTGCTTTGCGTATGTTATTTCCATATTGAAAGAAAAAAGGGAAAGATCTAAATAGATATTTAATGTTTTCCAATGAGTCGAGCATAAATTTCTAAACGCTATGGGAACATTTAAAAAAACTATCATTTTTTGAATCAGGTGTTTTACATAAGTTAAAAATGAACAGAAATCAAGAGCAAGAAATCTGACATGAAACCACGTTTACTACTTTCTACCGTATTTTAAATCTTCTTGTAATTGTGTATATCTTCAATACAAACCTGAAACAAAATGATGAAGCACATAACGAAACATGAAATTAAAAGGTGTTCAATTTCCTGCATATGTCATGGAGTATTCTATCAGCGAAAATAGGCAGCCGTGATAATTGTTAAAGGTTTACGGTTCTTTAACATGCACAGTCAACAACACATATGGCCCCAGCTGTTCACCCATACTGAACAAATTCCAACCTGCACGGAAGAACACGCTGGAAACTAGGTATCTTTCGTGGCCAATGGTTAAAAAGCCAGCATCATACCCATTGAGCCATCGTGTCTCTGACACATTAATATTTTTTACATGGTCTATTTCTACAATGAAATATACATATGCGTGGCCTCTAGTGTATTGATAACAGATTCCAAACCCAACCAAAAAAGCAGCAGACTGAACATTTTCTTTTACGCATACATATTATTAGGAAGACTCACCTTCACATCTTAATGTAGATTTCCCTCTGTTCCCTTTTTTCTTCATCGTCACGATCACATTCAAATATTCACCGCCAAAGTAAAATCAGTAACACGCATTCGTTAACTGAGTCAATTGTGTAACTCTGTGGATTAACAAAAGAGTGCAGTTAATAGACAAGTTATTCTGGAATATTAATAAATAGATCCTATCAGTCGCGATTTGTTTGCAGTGTATGCCGTCTCGTTTATTGCACCCGTTTCAACATGGTATTCCTAAATGAACCAAATTGTTAGAAAACGTAACCTCGAAGCAAATGATCACTTTACGGTCCATTACCTAAGTACTAAAGTAGAAACTATTAAACACACATAAACGATTTCCTATAGTATCCTGTAAAAACCTGTGAGTAACAAAATGTGTATACAAATTTTTTGTACATGCATAATAATTATTTATCTTCATTAAATCCGTCGCCATCTTGTCAGATGAAATGTTAATAATGCATTACACGCTATTTATCTTAATTTAGCTCATTTAAATAATTCAAACTACACATTTGTAATAGTGCGGGTGAGATGAGGATGTCTAGCATTACAAAACGAAGTGATAGAGTGATTCTAAGAATGAATGTTTATTACTATCATGGTGAGATTAACTAGGTATAATTTCAATAATGATACGCCCGAAATTGAACTCTGTCCCTTGATGAGATCCAGTTGGTCATTGCCCAGTGATATCTCACTAAACAGTCACATTTAATTAAGCAAAATCCATTCTGTATAAAGAATAAAGCCACATCTAGTGATGAAGCATCTGCTTATGTGATTATGGTGAGATCTTGGTCTTACCCGCATTACTGACAAACGCACAATGCCCGAATGGTCAATAATGCCTTAGAAATTTATCTTATCTGGTCATTGATCGGAGCCCAAATAGGTCTATTACATAATTAACCATTTCAATCTCTTACTAAACGTCTATCATGTTGAAGTATTTCATACTATTTTCTGGATAAATAAAATTATGCATTGTCATAATATAGTAATAAGTAATAACAATGACAGAAGAGAACATAAATAGTGCAATGATTCGATAGACCATGCCAGAAACACTTATACATTTATGTATATAATGTCTGTATGAAACTTAAAATAATTGTTTTGTATATTGTTAATATTTCATTTCGTTTTTAATTTCTCAATTAAACATGCATTATGCACAACAAAATCTGCCTATTGCAGGTCTTTCTTTGGGCCTAAAATGTTAAAATATTAATTAGACCATAATAAACTCTCGATGCCATCGTAAGCCTGTAATATTTATTAGATTTGAATACATTTTGTGATGGATAATTTAACGAAAAATTGGATAATCCAGACCTTGTTTTTTTTTATCGTACCAACTTTATAGCGAGAACTGTCAGCTCTTTTTCTAATCTTACCTAATGCCCCTTTAACCAAATTAGAAAACATGATCAAATAGTTACATTATCGTAGTTACCCATATAGAGTAAAGTTTAATGCTATAATATTAGAAATGATTTTTATATAAGTGTACGTGGCAGTCGTTTACGAAAGAATATAATGTTTAAAAATCTATGAAGAGCCTGTAAGATAAGCGTGTTTTTCTGACAATAATCAGGAATTATCATGTCATTTATATTAGACATGTCTCTGCCAGAATAACATCCATTTTTCCTGTCAAATGTCTTTGAGTTGATTACTGTTTGTAGTCTCCTTTATATCAAATTTAGCATATAAAGTATACCGAAATGTTTTCTATTAGCCCAGTCGGAGCAAAACAGTAGGACGTTAAACCCCATTTCATTTCATTTATACTAAAAAGAACAGGCTTTATAATAAAATAGATACTCGAGCGTGTTTGTCCTTATTCTCAAAGCCATTAATATGTATTAAATCTAACAATGACAGCGACGATATTATGCATTCCTTAGTTTCGTACTAATTCGCATGGTTCAATAACCGTAAAATAAATTGGTCTGCGATCCACTTAGATTGTATAACCTATGTCTAAAAGGAATCAAATTTGAGCACGCTACTTTAAAAATGAAAATATTAAATCAATCAATTTGAGAATCCAATTTATCTTTCGGCATCCCATGAATATTATTTAAAACAATCCGATTTCAAAGGATACTAATCATGAAAGCGACAGCGGAATTTTCATCAAGAAAATATAAGTAATTACTTTCACATAATATCATATTGAACATAACCCTAAATACTCTATACCGAAATTCGAACAAATGATGCGTAAGTAAATACCAATTAAGCGACGAATATTGTTTTAGAAAATATTTTATTCAAACTTAAAGAAATTATAATATTTATAATAATGGTTATATTGTCATCTATCTAAATCCAAATCTTGGAAGCACGTGGCATAACATGTTGTGTCAAACAATGAACTTGCGCGAAAACAAATTTGACGTTGCTTTGTGCCATTAATCACAAGGAAAATGGATCGTTTTAATAATGTTTTACTGCGCTGTTTCGTTGTAGATTTATGTTTTAAAGAATTGCTTTTTTAATATTTAGTGAAGCATGTGGCAGCAGTATTAGACACCCAGTGTCATATCGAATTATAAACGATGAAATTGAACGAAATTAAATTTATCTTTCGTTGCCTAGTGCTTTTAATCACACATAACATAGACTGCCAGGCAACTAAAAATACGTCTTTCGAGCTTAACATCTATCAGATAATAGTTTACAGGGTTGTTTGCCATTATTATCATCGGGAATTCGCGTATCTACACCAATCGATCTGTCGCCCACGTTTATTGTTAGTAAAATAGAGGTTATATCAAACCATTTAACGTTTCTATGCTGGTTGAAAGTGGCGAGTGGTGCGACGCATGTACTTTAGAATATATGGTCTGTCATTGAGTCAACTAGCGTGGTTTCGATCTCAAGTTTGTACGTGGGAGTAGGGTCACATGCCTAACCCCGTGTTTTAATTACATGGTGGCTTAATACGTTATTGACATAAACTACCAAACTGTCAAACATACAATCCATCTCTCCGACTGGGGATTCAACACAGAAGAACAACTAACAACATTGTCCGGTTTCCTTCCATTGCTAAAGAAAAAGACCCCTATTTGCAAGCGAAGTATTGAAATAAAATTGTTAGTCCCGAAATATCAAACGGACATCATCGTCATAGATTCTGTTAAAATATAACTGGGCGCTTTTTTTTAAAAAAAATATATATATTAAAATACAAGCCGTGTCAAATGTATTGAACAAATTGATCTTAAAGCTTAAAGCAATCTGTCAACAGAGAAAATAACGCATAAATGTAGCTATAATTGAAACAAAATGAATGATTGCCAATTAGCTACCACATGGCCCGTCTGTGTTTATATATTATTGTTTCTAACTCGTCGCCTGTTCGATTTTTATGTCAATATACCATGATTTATGTTCTGTAATCGCGAAAGGTTCTTTAAACATCAAACACCGTTAAAGGCGACTCAAGAGAGATTGCACGAACAAGGAATATAAAATTTAGTTAATCCTAGATGTAGTTAAGTTTATCCCCAGATATAGCTATCACGATGATAAATGACTCTTTACTGTAATAAAACGTATCTACCCGAATCACTTAATATTACGGAAAATGAACGTTAATTGTTGTCAGTTTCTAAAGTACTGTTAAGGTAAAGATACCATGGGACAACGAAGATTATTTGAATAACTCAGTAGTGAAAATATACCGTCAGAATCAAACAAAATTACAGACGTATTTTCCAAAGCAATACACCACGCTCCTTCATAATACTTCAAAAGAATGGTATGACAATTGCGCTTTTTCGATTGACTAAAAACGTCTGTTGTTATTTGCTTGAAGGTAGTAATACGAATATGAACGTCTTGCGCCATGACATGTTTTATTTATAAGCTAAAGTAATTCAACTCTGTGGAGCTAGTCGTCATGAACTGAAGTGGGCTTGCAAATCTTCTAGTGGCATAACATGTAACGTGTCTGAGAATAGATAT